TCACTAAATAGTTTAAATGAATGGATAGTCTGCTGCACGGTGGTGCAGGTTGTAGCACTGCTGCCTTGCAGAAGTTCCTGGGTTCACTTCTTGGCATTAGGTCTTCTAGTAAGGAGTTTGCATGTTCTCTCTGTGCATGTGTTGTTTTCTCTGGGTACTCCAGTTTCCTCCAAGAGTCCAAACAAATGTCTGTTAGCTCAAATGGTTCCTTTAAACTGTGTTTAGTTATGTGTGCATGGTTATGTATCTTTGTGCTGCGCTCCAAATAACGTGGATATTGGAAAAATCACATTTTGCAATTAAAAAAAGGGGGAAAAAAATGCAATTTAAAAATGACATTTTCACAACTGTTTTAATTGAAGAAATGTTTTAAGATTAACTTTGCTGTTTCCTCAGATTGTATTTTAGGTTTTTTCCTATTAGAATTGTTAACATTTTATTTTCATTTATTTTACTTTTTTTTCTTTTTTACAGAATATGGATTTTCAATCTTTTTTTCAAATGTATTTTTTTTTTGTGTGTGTTTGTGTGCAGATTTTATATTTTTCAATTTCTGTTTTTCAGATTAAGTTTCATGAATTCATTCTTTTTTTCTTCACTTTAAGCCCAATGCAAAAATTTCTCCCTTTGATGCACATATTGACTGATAGGATGTTGTTGCTAATTTCCAGCAGACCAATAGAAATACATTTTCATTCCTCACTCAAGAGGGAAGCTCGCCCCAAGAGGTGTGGAGAATATGAGCCGTAAAATGAATTTTTCTTTAAAAGAATTTTGCCTTTGCATCACATCTGCTGTTATCTGATTGATTCTAAACTGTTTCCATTGACTTTGTTAGTCCCACTCTACCTGCTAAGTAAAGTCCAGGTTAACATTAGGCAAGGCAAGGCAAATTTATTTGTATAGCACAATTCAGTACAAAGACAATGCAAAGTGCTTTACATGATTAAAATACAGGAAGATAAAAGCAAGTAGGAAAAAATAAAAAATAAAGAATGCAGAAACAAAAAAGAATATTAAAAACA